CATCTAAATTAAATGTGTGTACCAAATTTCAGATCAATCTGACAACGGGAAGGTGCTTAAATTTCAATTTCTAATTTTGACCCAAATAAACAAATTCCGTACGGGCCGAGCTAAATAAAACCGTTTAAAAAGACTATTATTTCATGCAAATAAGAAGTAAATTATTTTGAAAAGAGGAAGCTATTAAACAGAATACTAGACAAACCTGTCTAGTATTCTAGAGTAAAATATGAGATTAATGAATTAATAAAATAATGTTTCACTCTCACAAGGCTATCTCATTTTCTTCATTTGTCTTAGTTACAGTTTTTTTTGGTTTCATTTAATCGTAAGCAAAAAATAGACTTATTTTATGTCTGCTATATAAAAACCCGTTACATTTATGTTCATATCCAAACTTGTACCTATGTCTAAAAATGTCTATGTCTAGATATGTCTAAAAATAACAAAGAATATATCCAAAGTCAATATGACCAGGTGTGTTTCCTCTGAATTATATTAACCTTTGAGCGATTCGAACCGGCTCTCGTCAACAGTTGCATCAATAAAGATTAATTAAACCAGAAATTAGCCTAAACAGAGCCGGGGTAATTATTACCCTTTCGATTCTTCAACGTTCCCCACCCTTTTGTCGGGGTAAAGGTTAAGAGAAGCGTGCACTACGAAAGGAATTTGGCCTTTAACAATTCCAGAGTCATAAAATTGCAGGTGGGAAGATATTGAAGAATGTTTCATAACATAGTTAATTGCCCGGAACAGTTACATTGTTGTCCATGGTGAAGTTCGTTCGCTATGTGCGCGTGTTAAACCGCTTTGCTGACTTAAATCGAGCTTTGAATGTTTTAACCACTGTTTGTAAGTTTAAATGCGTCTACGTTTAAATAAGAAGTTTCGTCGTTTAACTAAGCCAATTTAAAAGTAAGAGATATGTCCACATTTACAGCAAAAGTATAAGTATTGTCTGAAACTGAGGTTTTCTACTTGGTAACTGGATTTACAAATCAATTTGTGAAAAAAGTTATAAATAAGTCTTCTAATCTATACTTGGACCACTCGAATTTGCTAATATCCTCATTATTCCAAAATTTTCCCAACAATATAATCAAAATGTGTACGAAGAAATGAATTTTAATATTTACTATATCAGTTTAAATTAATTATTGGACTAAAATTTTTATTTAAGTATCTCATACATCGTCATTTTTCTAAGGTTTACAGACTAAAACTGACAACACGCGTTGTGGTCTCGCCGATTTTTTTACTTTGGCTTAACAGCTTACAAGATAATTCTAGCTGAAAGAAATAACCAGTAAGACTGGACTTCCACGAGATACCATATTACTCAAGATCGGCGTTAGATAACAGTGTAACTAATTTTGCGTTCGGCGCGTTGAGTGAGGTAGCCGGAGACATCCTCAGTGGTGGGCAATATGCCTGTATCATTTCTGAGGTTCTAATGCGATCATGAAATCGGCTGAGGTACTCAGATGCCGTCCCTTTTTGAAAGGGACGATCTAGCGATAAGTAACCCCCCCATACTGAAAAATCCACAAAGCGTAACCTTAAATCTGACCTTTTTTTAAAGTGAGTCCTTTTGATAAAGTGGCCCCGGCCACCTCACTCACCGGACTGCACACCACTTCCACTGCCCACCGGTCTTGTGTGAGGTTACTTACCCAGACTGCCGTGCCCAATCGTGCAACCACAATTAAAATCATGTTAAAAACTAAACCAACATTGCTCTTCAAACGCTGCCAATTCGAGTGTTTATAATCAATGAGTTTTCGCGTAAACGCAAAATATAATCAGTCCCCCTAGAGCATTTTCTCACGCCGTTGCCTAGCAATTAGACGCGCAATCTGGATTGTGCGAGACGCTGGGGACGAAAAAAACCTATGCAATAACTTCTAATGAGAGAGGGGACAGGTTGTAAGGCGACTGGACTTGGGTTAGCGCGAACTGCCCCTTAGGGCGATACGCACTGGGCTATTCGACGCGGGAATTAAACGCCACGTGTAAGCCCCTTAAAAAATCCTATATTAAAATGTTGGTAATAAAATACTCCTTTATTTTAGGTTCAAGAACCTTGTTAGTTTTTAACTTGAAGAGCGAGCTTTAGTCCCAAATTTAGTATTAATCTGATCTTTTAAACAAAAGCAACGGTCGAGTTTCTTGGCGGTCTCTTCTCAATAGAAATGTTCCATTAGAACGCGCAAGCGTCTATTTGAATAAAGATATTTTGAATTTGAAACAAATAATAATATAAAAGCGCGGTTTGGGTAATGCAAAACGTACAGTGCGACAATGGCCTGAACGCCACCGCTGAGCTACTAGTTCAACTGTTAATAAAGGATCTGATTCTGCGAGCATTAATAATGTATCGGGGCCCGTTCGACTCCCGCGCTAAATGGCTCGCTCGGCGGGGGTCGCTGCGCCAAGGCACTACGCAATAATTGCCCGTCCCATTGAATTATCTTCGTCGAGCTTAGAGGCGCTGAAAGCGCAGGGAATTGCTATAATTTGCTTTAACTGTGGTAGGGTCACGCAGCAGCCTCGGCTGTTGCACGAATTGGCAGGCTCGTCCGGGTTTTAAGTCCTTTGGTGAGAGTTTGGACCAAGTTCTGTTTGAGGTGATTTGGGACGGCTGTCTTGGCTGGACGTTGGGCAGGCTCGTCCGGGTAAGTACCACGACCTCACAGAATACCGGCGTAAAGTGGAAGTATATTACTTTCGCGTTTCGTCTGGTGAATGAGGTAGCCGGAAACCAATATCCAAAAGGTTGTCAACGCATCTGTAACCCTCGGGTGTAGCAGATGTCCATGGGCGGCGGTATTCACTTAACATCAGGTGAACCGCCTGCTTGCTTGGCAACTTTTCACATAAAAAAAATCACTGAAAAATTATCTCTCCCTCATCGGTGCCAGTTGTAACTCGACCGGCTCATTGCTTTTCACGCTTGTCATCATCATCGTTTGAGTCCACTGCTGAACATAGACCTCTCCCACAGACTGCCAAGAAGCACGATCCTGAGCCACCTGCATCCATCGACTTCCCGCACAATTGCACAGGTCGTCACTCCATTTAGTGGGGGTCGTGCCACGCTTACTTAAAACTTATCTCTGAGTGACAAATTTGAGCTAAACAAGCGTCGAAACCATGATGGATCTTAGAGCGTAAAAATCTGATATTTTTTGCGACCGAGGCGTGTACCAAATCGCTCGTACCGTCTTAATCTCGTCGATGACGACATTAGCTGCTGAAACCCTTGTCAAAGTCTGACGTGTATTGAACATTGTAACGGACAAATCACCGCTTCAATATTTTATAACTGTTTCTAATGCCTTAACATCCAACCAAATCAATTCTTGTACTAGTTTACGATTAATTTGATATTTTACTATTTAAGTACATAAACTACATAGTATATGCGCTAACTGGGGGCAGTTTTTGATCTTCTACCAAATATTAATAATGCATTCAACAAAGTTGCAATATAATTATGTAAAAAAAAATGCAGCGCAAATGATGTGAAGGAACGCTATCCAGACTCGTCCAGTAAATTTCCATGGCCGATAATATCGAGTTTTATGAACTAAACACTGGTATACGTCTAATAATAAACTAAACATCGTAAAGCGAGAAAAAAAAATTAAGGCAGCGCGGCCATCTTGGATCGAATACGCGGGAACGCATCGGATGCGTTCGATAAATTGACATGCTCCTTATATGGTCTCTTGTTACCATTCGTCTTGAGCAGAGTAGCGACCACAGAATTATTTATTTCAGACGCACAAGAGAAAATATTTGAAATTTTTGTTTAGTGTAAAAGACGACGGTTGCTGGCCCTGCGATAGCGTACTAAAATTCGGTCTATATTTTTTCAGCTTTCTTGCACCTTAGAATCAAGATCGTTTTCGCGAGTTCCTTGAAAAATGGGATGCACTAAATTCAATATGCAGCTCGTCAGCAGATGTTAAAAGATTCCTTTTTCTTCTTTTATGTCAACAGTTATATTGTTGCTTGGTTAGGTCTTTGCTTACATATCCCTTTAATAGTTTGAACCTAACTAAGTATTTTATCTAGTCGCGTTTTACAATAAAGTTATTTAATTACTTTCTTAGCTAATAAATAATTTACCAGAATACGTAAATTTGGTTAAATTATTAGTAGTTAAATTACTATAATTTTAAAAACTAAAATTAAAATTATAGTAAGTCTTCATGGTCGAAATCGGTTGTCTCTTTAATACGGCGTGATGTCAATTCTATATCTGTATAGTCTGTGGTCACAGCGAGCGTTAGATGCCGCGTAAATTGTGTCTAAAAAGTGCTGCGCGACGGACAAAACGACATTTTTCAACGTACTTAGGAATGTGTATTTGCTGGACATAAAAGTATTTTGTACATTTAAGGATGTTCACGGTCCATTGTTCGAAACGGAATTATTCTACAGTTTTGTGTAAGGTGGGATTTTCTTTTAAGTCAGATTAATTGTTTCACGCTAATGTTTATTACACATTTCATATTAATGTCGTTCAGCTTTATGAAACTGATTACAATTTTTATGTAAACGTTTATTAGAGCTGATTTAATGTAAATCGTGTCACAAATATTATTTTTTAAAAATGTCCTTTTTTGCGTCGACTTTGTATTATATTTTAGCTAATTGCGTCGTTATTATACGGTGCCCATGCAGTAATTGTGTCGTTAGCAAGACCCTAATCGAGGGTCTGAAATGCGCAGAGTCACGAAAACCCGCTCAACCAATGTTGTACTCGCAACGGGGACTCGAACCATTGCCTGCAAGCTAACAGTTCCGATATTCCGTCAGTAGTTCGCGGGGCCCGTCGATAGTTTATCGCGATAATTATTTATCGTCATCATAAATAATGCCGGCCACTCGCCGTATTCCTGTGAACGGCCAATAAAAATACCGGTGATGTACCCCACAGTGGTCGACGGAGCGGCGACGCTAACCATTTAGCCATGCCTCTAATGTTACCCACGGAAGGTGGGGACGGAGGAATGCCGTCCAGGGCAGCGAGAGTTTTTGCTCTTTGCGCCACAGCTATTGACCAGCGCGGTCTTCAATACCCTAAAGACGTAACGCCTGAAGCGAGAGCGCCAATTCGACGCGCAATCCGTTGAGATAAGAGCGAGTTTCGAGTGGAATGGCTCGACGCATAGTCTGGAGCACACCAGGCAGACTGCCGTTGGTGCACCGATGGTCTTGAGTTCTTGCAACGGATCCAGGTAGCCCGGAGTATACTTTCGCACCGGCTTTGACTTATTCAACGCACGCTGGCGGGTTTCGCGAATTGAGGCGTCCCATGTCCTCGGTGTGGGGGAGCGATTGGCGCGAAATTCGGCGACATTCGAAGTTGCCATTTAAACAGAGCTATACCGCGCTGCCCTACGAATATTTTGTATCTGACATATCGTTTCTTATAATACCTTGACTTTTTCGGAAATTCTATATTTTGTTACACTTCAATAGGTACGTTATAAGCTAACGATTTACCGTGAATTAAAAATTTTGTTTAGGATAAAAAATTCAAAAAAATAAGCCAAAAGAATAAATTTGTAAAATCGTGATTTGAAAAGTGAGTCGTGCACACGCGTATTACATTGCTTGTGGAATGCAAGAGAATTACAAACGGTGTGACAATTAAAAGGATAAATAGATTTAAGAAAAATGGTCACAACAATTTTTACAAGAGATAAATTAGAAAATTCGATCGACTTTCTTTAATAACTTTAAAACGGCTGTGAGTTCAATATTAAAAATCGATAGGGATCGTCTTATAATAAATGGAAACTTATTTAGTAAAATGTATCTTAATTCATTGCTTATACGGTACACAATTTTTATAATATAAAGTGAATCAATTGGGAAAAAAGAATATAATTTAATGTAGTTATTTCAACATTGATAATAATATGAATTAAAAGTCTAGCTTAGAGTGTAAGAACGATTTTAATGTAGCGAAACGTGTATGCCCACGAAAGTTAAACACTGAAAGTGCGATAAAACTTAATATTAAGGTTACTGAAATGATAATTTAAAGTAAGCGAGATTTATTTGAACATGTCGGTAAACAGTAAAATACCGCGCCAAGTAGTTGTTTCACGCGTTCAAAATGGTCGATGGCATTCCAAATTCAAACAATAACGGCGCATATCAATGACGTTTATAACCAATAAATAATATATGCCAAATATGCTTATGCTCATGTTTTAACTATTACAAATAGTATAACGTTAAATATTACGAATTGGTTCGCTCATAATATCTTACTAGAGTATATAAGAATAAATTATAAGCCTATTCCAAGCAGACGCCAGCACATGAAAAGGAATTTACTAACATCTTTATGTTTTAGGCCCCTATTTCAATCGAATTGAAAAGCGAATAAAATAATCCGAGCCTAATTAGTTATTCAAATTGAAAGACGCGTGTGAAATGTAAATAAATTGTGGATAACTAAGCTGAATAACATATTTATGAAAGAATTTCTTCTTAAAATATATTTATGTACATTTATTAGTAGGTTGCAGACGTTGAGGCATCAAAATGCTCCGTTTAACAATTAATGTAGTGATGTGCGATGATCCTCACAGTTTTATTTCTGACGGTAGACGATGGTCAGTAAAATTTATCCTAACTATTGGCGGTCAAACGAGGGAGGATATAATAAAATATTGAACAACTTACAAGACATCCTTATTTATATAAAAGTATCGCAGAGAGTTAACAGAATGGTCTGAAGAATTTAACAGTTTAATGAAATATGACATGTATGTTAATATTAGTTTATCTGATAGGAGAAAGTATGATATTTAAATAATCACCAATTGACGTCCCACCCCCGTGGTCACAGGTCTTAAGAAGGTATAGGTAGGATCCGACATATTTTCTAAGACATTAGCCTTGGCAGGATCCATAATATTTATGTTCAACGCTAAGCATGTAGTAAATAAGTGGACTTATAATTTTAACTGATAATAAATAAATTAGAAAATAAGTTAGCTAAAGTCTCTTATTGTCACGTAGTCCTGAAATTTTTAATTTGTATTGTGTTTAATGATGAAATCTTTAGGTACATAATTTAGTTTTAATCTCACAATTTTTCTAACGCTTTTATGAGGTCACGGAAAGAAAAATAAATTTTACTGAAGTTACTTGAAGTGTTTTTCGTTTTTATAAAAGTCAATTAATAAGGGTTTTTTCAAAAGAAAAAAGAACAAAACGACCGATATATGTGGGAAGATAAAACTTTGGAATCTTTTTAGTAGGGTAGTCATATGAAATTTAAATTAATTAACATAATATCCATCTACAGATTGCCCTATCATATATTATAACTAGCTGATCCGGCAAACGCAGTTTTGCAATAATTTTTCCGAAAAATAAAAGAAATTTGGGGTGAGCCACCCTTAACACTGAGGGGTATAAAGTTTTTTTATTAACCTATTTTCATACCTACTGAATATACATATAACTTTTCACCAAAATCGGTCAAGCCGTTTCGGAGGAGTATAAACACTTAAACAGTGACACAAGAATTTTATATATTAAACTAGCTGTTCCGCCAAACGTTGTTCTACTAGCAATCCTGATTACGGTGGACCACCCTTAACGTTTAGGGGGATGAAAAATAGATGTTGTCAGATTCTCCACCCTGGTCGATATGCACACAAAATTTCACGAAAATCGGTCAAGCCGTTTCGGAGGAGTTAAATTACAAACGCCGTGACATGAGAATTTTATATATTAGATAGGTTTATAGCTGAAATATTTGAAGTCCGCTTGACGCATTTGACTCACCTTTCAATACGTCACAATACAAAATCAAAATTATTTATTAATTCATAGACATAAGAGATATACATTTCATCTATCGATAGTATTTTTTTTAAATCTAGAACTGTTTCGTAATGAGGTTCCTCTAACGGAGAAGAAAGAAACTCTGTAGGTATCCTCTTAATTGACATTTTTTTTCTTAAAAAGAAAAAAATATTCATAATACGAAGTACTACAACAAATTACGGTGTGTATTCATTTGAATCTAATACAGCATTTATTAACCTACAGTTGATTCAATTGACAGTTGCTAAACGTTATCATGTTGCTGTCATTGTTGTGTAATTAAAAAAAAAATAATAAGACTTTATATTTGAAGGACACATCTTGGAATGAGAGCTAAATAGGGGTTATAGTTTTTTAGCAGCGCTACGAAAGCAATTAAATATATTGTGACTGGTAACACAGAAAAGTTTGTGGAGATGACTTTTGATGTTCTACATCAATACTTTTATGCATTGAGCTTATATGGTACTGTTTAGTTTATCCATTTCCAATATCTGGTAAGAAACAGAGAGATATCTCACACTTAGTATCAAATTTCTTCGGCAGATTTTCTTTATGTGTACGAACTGCACAGCGCTCTTTAATATTAAAAGGCCTTATCGTTGAAAAAGGAATTAACATAAAATAACGAAAGGCTACTATCGACATCGCTATAGATGATGATTGAATGTTTTTATACTTTTAGACAAACGCAGCACGCTTTAGTTTATATAAATAGTGTATGTAATTTGTGAAGAGAAACCGAAATGTGTGTATTAGTTAGTGTATTTAATTTCTTAAGGAAAGACAGTTATGCAAGGGTCGAAGAAAGTGGAAACGCAGTTGTGGCAGCAGCGGTCCGAGATTGAAAGTGTTATTCATTTGTGATTTGCATCTCGTAAGTTTCAAATTTATCTAATATAGAAAATTCTCGTGTCACGGTTTTTGTAGTCGAACTCCTCTGAAACGGCTTGACCGATTTTCTGTGTGCATATCGGCCAGGGACAACATCTATTTTTGATCCCCCTAAATGTTAAGGGTGGTCCACCCCAAACATTTCTTCCTACCCTACAAATAATTTACATTGCAAAACAACGTTTTCCGGGTCAGCTAGTAGTATTATCTAAAACCAAATGTAAATATGTTCTATTTTGACGTCACAAGCTATTGCAGTTGAAAAGAATGATGATTATGTTTCCAGCAGAAGTTGATAAGTTGAATCTCTTGCATTGGATGTGTTCAATTGTGAAGTGAAACAGGGGTAACTGCAAGTTGGTGGGTTTACTGTGTGCTGAGCACATTTCATTTTAGGTGGACAAGTCACCGTGTGCAGTCGTTAGACTTTAGACTTCAAATTATTTAAATATAAAAGTTATTAAGACTAAACTAGAAGTTATTTAAAAATAACGACTAAAACATCATAAGTAACGAGTAAAGTAGTCAATACATATTGGTGTGTTTTTTTACGATCAGCGCTTGACTTGAGTGTTCGCGCCTCCAGTTGAGCTAATGTCGAAATGATTTAATCGATCATGAATGGTAGTAACAGTGTCGAGCACATCCCTACGGGACAGGTTTGGCGTGTCCTTGGGGAGAAATGCAGGCGCGCCGCGGCCGGCGAAAGTGCGGCACTGACCAATGCAACTGACCATCGCCGACGACCTAGGACTGTGGTGCACCGCGCCTGCGCGGCCTTCGCGGGTTTTTCACCGATCCGTTAGTAGTAGGTGCCGCCACCTATACAGACCCCTACAGCTAGGTACGGCCGCAACACGTTCTCGACTACCCCGACGATGACACCACGATCGCCGTCGATAAAATCAAACAAATCCGGAAACTTAAAAACACACCGCCATCGCCGTCCAGTGCGGCGAACATGTACTAGGTTCCGCCACTTACCTGGCAGGTTTTCCACCGTTATTGATAGAAAGGTTGCTGGAGCTTCTTCCGCTACTTCTCCCGGGGCCAACGCCTTCCGAAGTGGTGGTAATGATGGCCTTAGAAATTCCTCTAGTCAGACCACAACCACCGATCGATCCGAGGTTCGGCCATCTCGGGCAACTTCGGAATGCTCTCACTCCATAGAGCGTTCCCCAATGCGACCTAAGAGCCTGGCGGCCTCCCAAACCGGTGAATATAACATTAATAGCGTGACTATTACTCAAGTTTTGTACAATGGGAGGGTCTTATATTAAGTATAAGCATTTAAATTGACTATGTGTAGGGTGTGGGTTCGATCCCCTGGTGGAAAAATATTTTGTGATGAACACAGTGATTTTCCCGTGTCTGAATGTTTTTATGTTTATAATATGTATTTATTTATAAAAGAAAAGTGTGTTTGAGTAGGTTTATCAGTTATCTAATTCTCATAGTACAAGCGTTGCTTAGTTTCCGAACGAGAATGTTGTGTATAGATGTGTATTGAAATATTTTATTCAAGTAAACGTCGCTGTTTATTTTCTCCAAAGAAAATATTTAATTCTAATTAATTTCGCGCCCGATGTGTTCACAACCCGAAAGGCCGGTTTTTGATTCATCTTTAGGACTAATGACGGTCAAAGTGTGGTAGTAAAGTTAAAAAATGTTTTAATAACGTAAGCGTCGGTCGAATCTATTAATTGGATCAAATTTCGATGTAAAAAGTAAAATGCGGTTTCATTTTGAGTGTCATGTTCGAGAACGCTGCTATTACTTAAGGTGACATATTCTGACTTGATTAATGTTACAAGCATTGACTTAGGAGTAAAAATAATGAATCTATGTGACTTTTGGGATCTATCACTTTTAATAAAATTATATTTTTAAAATCCATCGTTTGTCAAATTACCTTACATCCGATTCGACGAGGTTATAACGGCTTATAAATGTCCCACTGGTGGGCAAAGGCCTGCACTACACAGAGGGCATCAGGGCGTAGTCCACCACGCGGCCCCATTGCGGATTGGCGGACTTCACATATCTTCGAAATATTATAATTGTTTGTGGATGTCACCTATTCTATTATATAAGTTAATACGTCTACCAAGCAAATCGAACTCAGGTTGCTCGAGTATATTGAATTAAAGGCGAGTATATTGATAATGGCGTACGAAATATGAAATATCATAATCCTTGAGGATAAAGCTATAAAACAAGGTCATCCCTCTGTCTGTCTTCAAAACCTCGGTATTCAAACGTGTCCACGGCCCTCGACGCGATGTGGTGTTTTGGATGTTTTGTTATGTTTAAAAATTTTTTTTTAGTATTTAAGTATATTTTTTAGTATAATTTAGCAGGAACCAGTACATACATGATGTTCTCAAGTATGTATAGCGACGGGAGCGTTAAGATGTTTAACTTTTTAAAAATATGCCGAAGGGACTCACGTGGACCCAGGCCATAGACACCCCTTATCGCTTGTTTTTGCAGTACAAATATCGTGTCTAAACCGGATGCGGAACCACAAAAGTAAGACACCATAAGACGTAATACTGTGAAAGTAAGCATAATAAACTAATTTAGCTGTTGCCTCGTTTGTTAGTTGCCTGATCTTGCGTATGGCAAAGACGGCAGCGCTGAGCTTTTTAGCTAATTTATCTATATGCGCTCCCCATTGCAACTTGGAGTCAATGCATATTCCAAGGAATGCCGTTGAATCCTCAAGAGGTAGGATGTTGTCATCAATAAAGATTCCTGGTTTGTGAGACAGCTTTATAGGAATAATATTCCAATTTATTAATAAGAATCTTATGATCTACACAGTCAAATGCCTTGGAGAGGTCACAGAACACACCAATGGTGTCATGGAACGTCTCCCAAGACTGCAGAATATGCGAAATTAATTCTACTCCAGCATCAGTTGTAGATCTACCTTTCGTAAATCCGAACTGATGCTGGTTCAAGATTTCATATTTATTAAAGTGAAATAGCATCTGATCCAGCATGATTTTCTCAAATATTTTATTTAAGGCTGGTAAGATAGAAATGGGTCGGTAATTAGAGGAATTTTCTCTTGAGCCTGATTTATAAACTGGCACAATTTTGCTACATTTTGCTACATTAATTTTGGAAATTTGCAAGTATCTAAACATAAATTAAATATTTGGGCTAATAAACAAGCAATATCACAGATTATAAGATGCCCATATTGATACGCCCCATAGGTCTAAAGTTTTCTTTTTATTTAAATTTTTAAAAGTCTTAATAATATCATTCGGACCTATGTAGCAAAACTTAAAATCTGGAATGGAAATATTAACATATTTATCCAGATATGTTGCTGCCTCTGTGGGACAGTGTTGCAAATGCCTAGTAGTTTCAAAAGGAAACTCATTTGCAACTTTATAATTTTCTTTTATAACTTTGCCATGTACATTTAATGTAAAATCCACTTTTTTTTCATTATTTTTTCCAGTTTCCTTATTTATCACTTTCCAAGTAGTTTTAACTTTGTTTGCGGATAATTTTATTTTATTGCTCAAGTAGTCTGCCTTAGCTATAATACAGACCCTTTTAAAGATTTTTGAAAACTTCCTAACATATTCATGGAAGTTAGGATCACAAGTTAATGATTTTATACTGTATAGATCATAAAGTCTATCCCTGCTCTTTCTTATTCCCTTAGTCGCCCATTCACTGAAAGAAAGTTTATTGCTTAAGGTTATTGTTTTCCTTTTTGGCAGATTTTTATTAAATTCTCTGCTAATCATACTAGACAGGGTATTGAAATCGCCATCAGGATCATTAAGGGTTAATTTTAGCAAGGGTAGTTTATACTTAATACTATCCCTGAACTTCTTAATTCTGTTTTTTAATTTCTCTTTTTTAGTTACAAGCCTACATTAATTTATAATAAAATTATTCTTGTTATTAATGTGAAGGTCTATTTTAAGGGCTTTATGATCTGATCTAACGCCACTCAATATAACTTGATTAATAATTTTACAATTTACTATTATATTGTCTATGCATGAGGCACAGGATGGGGTTACTCTTGTTGGTTCATTGAAGATGCAATTAAGATTAAAAGTTTCAAGAAGTGATAGGAATCTTACTTTGTCCGGTGAATCTGTTAGTAAATCAATGGACGGTCTTTCCCTATGTATGCTTAGATCTTTTAAATTACGCAACGGAACTTGATGCTGTTTTTTTTTACTAGATAGAATTATTCAAGTGGAGGATTTATATGTATAATACATTGCACCCGTGCGAAGCCGGGACGGGTCGCTAGTAATTAATAATATAAGAATATGTTATTAGGTTCTATTGTTTGATTGAATTACTTTATGATCAAAATATGTCTTTAGTTCTCGATGTTTTAGACACACCTATTATTATTTTTAACCCAAGATACGAATTTGTATACATAATAGTTTGTTTATTGCTAAGTGAGAAGTAATTTTTTAACATTCATCTATTTTAATACAGGTACACGACAGACAAGCTAGCCTTACATTGTATGCTATTGAACTATAGTTCATATAATATGTTGTGCTCTGGTAATTGAAAATAATGGAGATACTAAATTATTGTCCAACTTTTTGCACGCGTGATAAACGTAGGGCATCTTTGTGTGACGATTTTAATGACAACCATTCCATGCTGTTTTTTTATGTTATAAACGACACTGGAAAATACTTTAACATGTTTTTGGCTAATAGTAGATGTAAAATTTTTCAATTCACAATTTTACACAATTTTAGGTATATTTGAATACTCTTCTTCTTCTTCTTCTTCCTATCCTATCGGATGCCTGCGATCATCACACGGAACTATTCTCTATTCTCTATAAAGCGTCCATGATGCCTATCCATTTTTTCAAATTATTACTCCATGTTATTCGTCTTCTTTCTTTTCCCCGTTTTCTTTCTATTTCTCCTTCAATTATATTATTCAATACGTTGTATTTGTAATGTCTATATTTATGTCCAAAATATGCGGTTGTACGTTTTTTAATTGTTACCAATATTTCTAGCCGTTTCTTCATTAGAATATTTACTGAATAACTTCATACCTCTTTTGTCGCGTTCGGAAAAATTATGAGAGTACAATTTTTAAGATGCGCGCGCATCGCCAACGTGATGAAGTTAGTTACAAAGTGACCAATTACGCCACGGTATTACCATGGTATCCAATAACAACTTTATGACATTTACCTAAAACTCCAAGTTATTTAATTAAACCGTAATCAATTGCATTTAATGTTTTTTTTCATAAACAAATAGTAGGGTACTGGCATAGAGGGTAAAGTTTTTCTGTTACACTAAAGAAGTATAAATTCTTACGAGCGTTCATAAGTACACACACGTTTTTTAAGCATGTTATTGTCATTATATTAAATGGCGCAAATGTGAGTCTTTATGTTTAGATTATGTATTTGTGCCATTTGCTGTTGAAACGTTAGGTCCGTGGGGTCCCCGCACTTCAAATTTTTTTAAAAGTGTATGTCCTAGGCTTAACGCCGCGACTGGTGACAAGAGAGCTGGTTCTTTTCTCGCTCAATGGTTAAGCATAACTATTCAGCGAGGAAATGCAGCTGGCGTTCTTGGCACCATGACGCGTGGATTAGGTTCAATTAGATAATATGTAATTTTAGATAGATTTAATCTTGTAAATATTAGATCAATAAAGATTGTAAATACATTTTCTTATATTAAAGTACATGACAACTATTAAACATTGTCGTATGTATTAACGACCTAGCTATATAATTACCTAGTACCATAAGAAAACTTAGGTGTTTAAACTAAATTTGTTAAGGGCAAGCCCTTAATTAAACTAGCCAGTACTCAAGCGTTAGATAGGCCTAACAAGTATCTCAATTTAAGTGAAGTAGGAATGAGTGATAAGCACTCGCCCTGTAAAAGGCTATCCACTCTCGCCTCGAAGACACCCACGTAGCTATCTGGCTGGGGGGCGGACGTTGGCAAATTGTCCAACTACTATGCTGTACACATTACGGACGACGTTGCGAGCCGCTTCGTCCGTCTATAATCATTCGCACTCACCACCATTGCGCATTCAAAACGGTTCTCTAAGCAAAACCTGAATCTGTATACACACTAGCTCCACCAGTTTTATGCCCATTTGCATCACATAACTCCTCATCTTATACCTCCAGTTAAATGAATATATGAAAAATGGTGAAGTATTCAGATATAGCCATAGTTGTTGAGTTAACTCTGGGAATTTCTTTGATGACTCCGCGGCGCGGTTGCCAAGATGTTGGCTTCGGAGTCGGGGGTCGTGTGTTCGATTCGTACACGGGACAAGTATTTGTGTGACCCACAGATAGTTATTTCGCATCTGGGTATTTGCCCACGCGAAATTTACGTTTTTAAATCGTCCTTACAACACGGGATATTGTTATCCTAAAGTAAGGGCAATATTTTCTTCCTAAGCGAAACCTTCGCTAAGCGATGGCCGCACGCTGTTAGTCAATCATCTAAGGCATCTTTTAGGCCGCCGCGGCCCGTGATCTCGTCAACCGATCGAAAATATCGCGGGCCACTCTGTACTCGGCGACTTCGCCTCGCACCGACACCGCCGGCTCTGAGTTTTTCCCGAGGCCCGCCCGATCGGCCGCGGCGAAACGCGATTAGGAACCGGTTCCAGAACTGCACGGGGGGTGCATTGCACTCCGTTCTTCGCTGCGCGCCTGCCACGTCCCAGCCGCGGACCCTCCTAAGCATAACGCGAACGCGCGCGTTTCCGCGCGCCCACCGGCCCGAGCCGCGTTAGTCTCAACGCGCCCGGGCACGTCAGCCGCTGAGGGATGTCGGTATGTGGAAAAATATCGATATATCGATGTTTCGTTAATAATAAAATGTCAATATTGACCTCGATGTATCGAAGAAAACACAATATATCGATAACTCGATACTAACTGTGGTAGGACCACGCAACTGTTTTCTCTGTTGCACGAATGGGCACGTCCGTCCGGGTTAGTACCACGACCTCACAGAGGACCGGCGTGAAGTAGAAGTGTTACACTTCTGCGTTTCGTCTGGTGAGTGAGGTAGCCGGGGCCCACTTTGTTGAAAGGTGGCAACGCATCTGCAACCCTACGGGTATTCCAAATGTCCATGGGCGGTTATCACTTAACATCAGATGAACCGCCAGCTCGTTAGCACTCGTTTGCACTCTATTACATTAAAAAATATATGTTTCTGTCAAAATTGATTTTTACCTAAATGCACCACATTCTCCGCTGTCAATCGGCCCGTAGGAACCGCTTGATTTACACCAGAAGCCGCTTTCTTTGAAGAAAACGGGAAGCCGTAGATGTCAATTTAAAACTTAACATACTACTGTATGCCAGATTCGAATTTGAAAAAAAATATCGTTTTTGATACGATTTTCGATATTGAACATTTTGCATCGGTGTATCGATATTTTTTCAACGCCTAGTCGGTTCGGAACGCACTACCCGAGTATATCGGCGGAGTGCGGGGCTGGCGATAAAATGAGCGGGATTCATTGACATCGGTCATGCGGTTCAGATATGTTGCTCAGACTGGATTAGAGGCTAGATGTTTAGGGCTGGATTCAGGTTCACTACCTAACCTGTTAGCCTGCTGGGTTGCTTTATAATGAAGTGATTACTGAGCTTCTCAGTACAGCCATACGGGAGGAAAGCTCGGGCCCTAACGATTTTATAACGAAATTCTTTATACAAATAAGCTTGCGCATTTGTTAGTTTCAGGTCTTTCAATATCATGGCTACCATTAGAAGGTGTAATGTCTCTGATTAAAGTCCAGTAGCGATAAATGTAATCTACAGCATTAATATAAAATTTAAGGAATTAATAATATTATTACAATTTTAGCTTTTTTACATTCGTAAATTCGATATTATTATCGTTGAATTTCATTTTCCAATATAAGTTTGCAATGCAAGGATAGATTTGTGGAATTATGGTATTTTGTCCCGGTTTTGAAAATTTTGATAAGTTATGAATAGTAAAGGTGGATCTTTGTGTAGATCCTGCAAAACAGTTTATCCTATTAACCCTCCTCGAAATGTTGGACTCCCCGAAAGGAAACGAAAGATGTTTCGCAAATCCGTTTTCAGTAAATGTTTAAAAAGATAACATCATGCACTCGATGATACGACCTAATTATGTACTGATTTCTTTTAATAATATATTAATATATTATATATGATTTATATATTATTAACTAGCGGACCTTACAGACGTTGTCCTGTACACACGAATTAAAAATATAAAAAGAATTGTGAATCCAAACCATTCTCGAATCGGCCTGAAGACACACAAAAAATTTCATCAAATCGGTCCAGCCGTTTAGTGACATACACACGTACATACGAATTATATAATTATATAAGGATATTCAATTAAATTTTTTGGAACGCTTTGCGGAATTAATTGTCATGGTTAATTTGTGCTGCTCTACCATGTTATGGTTATTTCAAATGATAACACACTCTGTTAATGAACAGATCGCTCCAGGCTCTTTCAATCAGAGTTCTTATATTGTATTTGTAATGAATTCATGTCATACTGTTTATTTAAAAAAAATTAAAAAGAGCCCGCTGAGTTTCTTTCGCCGGTTCTTCTCAGTACTGTGGCTTTCTTTTCCGAACCGGTGGTAGTATTTTTGACTATCAATAAGCGAGTGTTATGCTCCTATGTTGAATAAAGACATTTGATTTTGATTTTATCCTACATAGATCACGCCAAAATAAATGACCGATAAACTGAGCTAGTTTGAAATCGTCTGCCCGACATAAAAGGATGCAGTAAAGTTTTGGCATCCAGAATTGTTGCGTATTTAAATTTTTAAATTGCCGAAACCCTTTAATTAAAGTAAATAAATACTTTATATGATATCCATCTAAAGTTCATAATTGCCAATTTATTGAATAGGGCGTTGGCATAGGCAAAAGAACGATCTTCGATGATTACAAAAATAATAATAGTCATAATTCTTAATCTTTATTAGGTGATTATTACCGTAGATAGTACATCTACCTACCACACCTGCGGGGTTGGTGATTTGTTGTCTATTTTTATTATTAATATTTCGATAGAAAGAGAAAACAAAAATAAAGCGCATTTTAAAATTTATATTTTATAAGAAAATGAATAACTTACTCAACATTATTGTTACACTATTGCTTTAAATTTGCTGTATAGTGTTCTAGTAGTCTAGTAGTCTTTGTTTTATCGAGCTAAGAAGGTAGAAATATAAATACTTTCACCAAATCACCGTAGTTTCACTCTGCAGAACAATAACACGATTGGACACGAGAGCACTATCGCGTATACTTCTTGTTGACAGCCGAAGAAGATGAAGATGATGAAATGCTTCTTGCAGCTTCATTTATACCTCACAGAATGACACTTCTTTTAGTGCTGCCAACAACATCAAGGAATAACTTCCTTCAGTGATGCCAACAATAGGTCTTTTGCAATTTAAATTATTGTTTTGTGATTTTATTTATTCATACAATTGATATTAAGAATTCATTTAAACACTATAGGATTAAACATTCAAATTTGTAGAAAAAAGGAACGAAAATATTTTCTTGTACAATCTTTTTTGTACAATCTTAAGTGCAGAAATTGGCACTATATCTAGTTATATATATTTTTAATAGCATATTTCTTAAAGTTTTGTTATTTTGTATAATTTATTAGTGTAATAATTATTGATAATTTGTGGAATATGATTAAACTCAATTGTATATTTATCATTTAAGATTTCATAAAATTCTCATTCTTTTGTGGACCGCTTGTAATAAGAGAATTATCGCTGCTATTTATGGCTAATCGCACAATTAATAGGGACAAACGCAAATCGACGCTATTATCGGGACGTGGACCACGCATCCGTTCGTATGAGGGCCTTAAACCCACTTATCGCGAACACCATAAGAAACATCTCGTCTGTGAATAATTTCTAAGCAGGCTCGATTTTTTAGAACGTGTCTCCACTTTGTAGTATAGACAGGCGTTGTCAGATGAGTAGCTTCTTACTATCGATTCTGTTTGAGATTGTTCCTCCGTACAAATAAATGTACGGAAATGTATGTGGAATTAGTCGAGGTTATGTCGGCTTTGATACCATAATTTATCTAAGACTAGCGACCCGCCCCGGCTTCGCACGGGTGCAGTGTATTATACATATAAACCGTCCTATTGAATCACTCTAACTAGTAAGAACAAATCGCATCAAGATCGGTTGCGTAGTTTTAAAGATCTAAGCATACATAGGGACAGACAGACAACGGGACGACTTTGTTTTATACTATGCAGTGAAGATGGCAAATGAGCTGGCGGTTCACCTGATGTTAATTGATAACCGCCGCCCATGGATATTTGCAACGCTCACTTTATTCAGCAACGATTTGTGGGTTACAAAGGCTCACTCATCAGACGTATCGCAGAAATTTAACACTTCCACGCATTTTTATTGTAATGTGGAAACAACTTAAAAGAAACGAAATGTCAGTTCATAACCCAGTGTTACTTTTAAGTGGTGCAAGACATTGGTACATCAAGAAGTGCCACAACCACGTAGAAGACCTACGTGAAATGAGTGAGAGAAGATACTTTAAAAGGTGGCAACGCGTCTGCAATCCTACGGGTGTTTCAAATGTCTATAGGTTATAATATTTGACGGTCTTAGGGCCACGCAGTCTCGGCTGTTGCACGAATGGGGAGGCCCGTCCGGGTAAGTACCACAGCCTCACAGAAGACCAGCGTAAAGTGGAAGTATGACAAATACTTTCGCGTTTCGTCTGGTGAGTGAGGTAGCCAGAGCCCAATTTTCAAAAGGTTGTCAACGCATTTGTAACCCTCGGGTGTAGCAGATGTCCATGGCGGCGGTATTCACTTAACATTAGGTGACCCGTCTGCTCGTTTGGCAACTTTTCACAAAAAAAATGCTTCTCGTATGAAAAAAACATTGAGAATTAAATTTTTATTTAATTTAACCCGATTATGCGAACCCTTAACTTTAACCGCGAGTTTATAAATCGTTCATTTATTTATTTAACTTAATCGTTCATTAATTTATTTATTTAACCCGATTATGCGTACAAGTGGACCTGACTTAAACAAGTTTATTAAAGCATTATCTAAGCTTGTCCCAACTAAAAGTGTTTTTGACATGAGTAACGTTTCGAAAACGGGCACTAACTATTATCCGTCAGTATAACACTAGACTGTGATCTCATATCTCACTGGCCGCCGGGCCACCGCTACATTTGAACACAATACCTGGCCGTAATAGGATTAATATTTATGTTTATTAAATTAGTGTCTCCATTATGAGAGCGGTGCGCTGACAGGGAGGGCAGAAAAAACATGCAGCGAGTTCGTTCCACTGGGGATCTAGCCTTATTTGTAAACATCGGCCGCCACTGTTGCAATCCAGCAGGAGCTATGCTATTCTCCGTTATGTCATGCTATTAGTATACTATCCTTTTTAAAGTCACATGCCGCTAAACCGCCCTTATCACACCCTATATGGCATATATATACCACGATATTACATTGTGTTTGTTGTCGAGTGGCAAATTTTCGATAGATAGCATTGATTGGGAAAAATCTTTAATTGAGTAAGAAACCTTGCATACGTTTCTTACTCAAAGATTTTTGGCATTAACCGCAAACTCTTCGGAAAGGGTTGTTAGATCTCGTAAAGAGCCAAAGTATAGGTA